TACGGAAACGGAATTTTTCGAGCATAAAACATTTTTCAGGAAGTGAATTGTAAATGCAAGTGAGAATTTGCACGAAGAGGGAAAAGAGAATGGGAAAGAGGTTGCAATTCTCGGAAAAGAAATAATAGCATTAAATGTCCCGGAAACAATTCGAGTTCAGAAAATCTCAAAAAGAGCGCTAACCTGTTCGTATACAGCCAGGTGTCATACAGATATCCTCGTTTTCATTGCTGAGATAGAGGTATAGTAAACCGATGAATAACAACAGAGATAATAGGAAGAAGAATAGTGCTAGTCCACCGAAGACACGTTCGCGAGCAGCCATACGCTTATGGGTAGTGAGGAGCAGTTGATCCCCGTCGGAAGGTGCTTTAGTGGTGGTGCCCGAAGTGACGGCTAGGGCTGCGCGGCCGTCCGGACGCTCCGTCGCTGTTGAAGACGCAATGTCGCCGTCTGCACCAACGTCGCCACCAACTCCACCGCCTCCTTCTGACCCCGTCCTTTCAACTATCGTGAACTTCGAGTACACCGTGTTCCTTTGCGGCTTCAATCACGAGTACGTTAACATGCACTGTAAAACGACTTTAGACTTCGACAATTCGCACGATATCATTTGTCGTCATTTACCACAAATAAAACAAAAACAAAGTTAAAGGAAGACGAAACCGGCGCGAAAATAGAGAAATAGAGACTCTAATGCCAGTGGTCCAGAGCACGAGTCCCTCAGAAATAAAGAGGAATTAATGCTTCGATATACAGACATTTTTTGCTTGTAGAAAGGGTAATTATAGAAATAAAAAATTTGGAGCGCTTAGTCTTGAAGAATTTTTGGCGCATTTTTCAGTCCAAAATTTCAATTAGGGAAAATTTTGTTGTTCCTGATTCATTTTAGAAAAAAACTTAATGAAGAGTTTGAACAAGCAAATTAGACAACTCATGATTTTTTCAGTATTTAAACAACAGAGTTCTAGCTACAGCGTATTCTACACACAATAGAAACATAAAACAAAAGCTTTATCCCAACAAATTTGTGATCTCCATGGTCTACATCTTCTTTTCCAGATTATAGAAAGAGT